CACCAGATTTTTCTTGGTTATCATTTGCATGATATATGTTTTTCCTTCATTTATTTTGAAGATTTCTGATGCTTTTATTCTAGACACATTTCTAAATGGCATACAGTTGGATTTGGTTATTGTCTCCAGCTTGACAAGCTTTGCCTTAACTGAAACATCTAGTCCATTTATATCTTACCGTTTTCCTCATCTACTTCTGCCGCTGGCAATCCCAGCTTCTGCAAATGTCTTCAAAAGCTACTCTTCGTGAAGTCCTCCCCAAGACTATCTGTGACTTTCCACCTCAATACTCAGAGCGAGGCTTTCTTTCCTTTCAACTTCTAGCACTTCATTTCTGTCTCTTTTATTAGTTATCAGATTTTGCTAGTTGTTATTATTATTATTATAGTTAGTACAGGGTCTACAGAGTCTCACTACATAGATCAGACTCGTAGTGATCCTCCTGTTTTCAGCCTCCCAAGGGCTGGGATTACAGGCGTGCGCCACCACGCCCAGTCTCCATCAATGGCTCAGTGCCCCCCAGGGGCAGGGCCAGCACGGCACATCCAGTAGTTGGTATTATTTGGCTAGAAATAGTTACCTGAGATGAATAAATATTTTTCAGATGAAGAAATACAGATGGCAAGTAAATACATGAAAAAGTGTTCAACATCATTGGTCATTGGAGAAATGCAAATTAAAACACTGAGATTTTATCTCACCTCAGGAAGAATGGCTATCATCAATAAAGCAACCAATAACAAATGCTGGCGGGGTGTGGGGAAAAAGGAACCCTTCTCCACTGTTGGTGGGAGTGTAGACTGGTACAACCACTGTGGAAATCAATGTGGAGGTTCCTTTAAGAACTGGGATTATAGGTCCCATTTGGCCTTGCTATTCACTTCTTGGGTAACTTTCCAGAATAAACAAAAACATCATACTGGGGCTGGTGAGATGGCTCAGTGGTCTAAAACACCTACTTAGAACAAGCTTAGCAAAGCACAGGGACCGCGGTTCAATCCCCAGCACCACATGCCAGCCAGCCC